CAGAACACTTAAAAAAACAGCAGATAGCAAAGGAAGCATGGGGGGTGCTCTCTTCCTTGTTGTTGCACCCCCCCCGCGGCCGGGGGGGGGGGGGGGGGGGGGGCATGTCATGACTCACTGCCCAGTTTCCTGATACCAGGAAGTATCGGGCTAGGCATCGGAGCATTTGTGCAAGTATGATTTGGGCAAGTACCTCCTCATGTATAATTTCCCCCTCCCTTTTAGATAGTAAGCCCTCAGGGGCGGGGCCCTCCTTACCATCCGGTCTTGAATTGTATTGTAATTGTAATGTCTTCCTTACATTGTAAAGCGCTGCGCAAACTGTTGGCGCTATATAAATACTATGTAACAATAATAATAATAATAAGTATGAGTACACGCTCAAATACTCGGTATCGGCACCGATACTAGTATCGGTGCATCCCTACAAACTAGTAAGCTAAACATGAGATTGTAGTCCATCCCGGGAGCGATCTTGGAGCGGTGACTACTCTACAACACACACAGGGACCATGGGGAACAGACGTAGCCCCCCTCCAGAAGGAAGGACAGTGTCAGGGATGATTGGAGGATCTACAGCCGAGTGACACACCAATAAGATACATTGTTGCTCAGAGTTCAGGGACTTGAATGTATTTTTAGGATATGACTTCGGAGTTTAGTGTCACTTTAAGAAACGGAGTGATGGCGGAGAGGGTCACATCAAACGGGCGAGGATGTAAACCATGCTGCATCTGCAAATGCAGGCGAAACACGAAGGAATATGCAAATCCATTCGGCAGCCGGTTTCAGACCTTGACACGGCACCCGAAATCCACTTATATATTCGAAAGATAAGAAGATGAATGTCCTCGGCTCTGAGGCGCGATGCAAAGCAGACGTCTGCGAAGGAGAGAAGCTTGCTGAGAAAGAAGACAATGTTCCGGAAAAGCCCGAGATAAATGTTTGAAGGCAAACAGAACCCATCCAACAAGACGCCGAGATCTCCGAAGGTGATGATCTATAAAAGGAGTTTATCAATGCCTAGAAGCACAGGGAAGTCTATTATTAAAGGGTTATTAAACCCTCGCGTGTGAAGGGTGAAGAGCATGTGAAGCCAAAACTTTATTTCTTTTGAGTTTTGGATTAAGAGGTGAAGGATAAAGCCCCCGTCAGGTTTCTATTTCTGTGGAAAAGAAATCTGAGAGATCGCGTTTCCGAAGGCTACTTGGCTGTATCCCAATGGAAACGCGCAACAAAACGGCCCAAATTAGTACCTGTACCTTTTTGTAGCGCGTTAGGGACGGGCGGAAATACGCCGAGGTGGGAACGAGACCATTGAATACAATGGGATTTATATTTTTGAGCGTTTTGTAGAGCGTTCGTCGAGCGTAGAACGCGCTACAAAACGTTCAGGTGTGAACGAGGGCTTATATTATTATTATTATGCAGGATTTATATAGCGCCAACAAATTGCGCAGCGCCTTACAATATAAGGAAGACATTACAGTAAGGAGGGCCCCGCCCCTGAGGGCTTACAATCTAAAAGGGAGGGATATAAGTGATCAGCAGATTGAACAGTAAAAGTCTGCACCACACAACACCCAAAACAATTGTGTTTACATTCTACTATAAAGTGTAATTCCTCCTTCACAGGCAAATGTGGGGAAAATGGAGTTACCACCACCAATCTGCCCCCACTCCAGCAACCTCCCTCCCCCTTACCTGTCAATCAACGCTCCTTCCCCTCCAAAGCTCCTGGTTTAGGACCTGTACACAGTAGTGCAGCCCTGCGGCTGGTATTTTAAATTCGGCTCACAAATGACGAGCACTCATTGGTCATCGCAGTCATCGAACCACGCTGACCAATGAGTGTTCGCCATTTGTGAGTGGAATTTAAGATTCCAACCGCAGGGCTGCGCTGCTGTGCATGGTGTACGGGTCATAGACCAGCAGCCATGGAGGGGAAGGAGCGTTCATCAACACCACCACCACTACAGCCCCTAAATCCACCTCATCGCACACATCTACCCCTTCTCCTTTGGCACATGTCTCATCATTTCTGTGCAATAGGGATGCACCGATACAACTTTTTTAAGACCGAGTACGAGTACCGATACTTTTGATCAAGTACTCACAGATACCAATTACCGATACTTTTTCTTCAAAGGACCAGGTCACATTTTTTCTAAAGCAATACAAACTAATGCTTTAAGGTCACTTTCTTAATATTATGATTCATGACGCCGGCTTCCAGATTTGCTCGCTCGTCATTACACGGCGCCCGGCTTCCAGATTTGCTCGCTTCCTGACCAATCGGGAAGCCGGGCATCGCGTCATTGCACGCTACCCAGCTTCCTGATTGGCTGGGAAGTTGGCTCCATGCTCTCTCGTCACTTGGAGCCGTTTCCTGGCCAATCAGGAAACCGGGCAGCGTGTAATGATGCGCTGCCCGGCTTCCTGATACAGGAAGTACTCGTGCTAGGTATCAGAGCATTTGGGCGAGTACGAGTACTCACCCAAATACTCGATATCGGCACCGATATCGATACTAGTATCGGTATAGGTGCATCCCTACTGTGCATGTTATGATTTTGTGTAAGTCCCTCACCTGGGCGCCCCTGCCTTGTACAGGGCTACAGATTGAGCTGGCGCTATAGGGGGTTCAACAGCGATACAAAATGACAGGTCCCCGATTCCCCTTTTAAATCCGGCTTCCCGTGGCTAAGATATGTTCTCGGGTATCTGCATGACTAATGCCGCCGCTCCCCAGCGCAGGCAGACTCACCATCCATTCTGAAATAATTATATCCACCTTCTCCACCGGTAAATCAATTTCCTCAATCCGGCCTTTAATCAGCGAGATCGTATCTTCCAACTTGTTCAGCCTGAAAGGAGGAAGAAATAATTATTTTGTAAGCTTCACTTTGTCGCTACTCACAGAGAAATTAAAGAAGAGGCGACTTTGATTCAATCTGATTAATCTGTATAAAATGTATGGAGCTGAATACAGAGCTGAGTCACACTGGCTTCTCATTGCCAGGATGGGGGGGGCGGGACGGTGGGTGTGAAGAGGACAGGCGGGTTCATCATCAGTACAGGAAACTGATATCCACCAAGGGATAGAAATTATTATAAAGGATTTATAGAGCGCCCACAGAAAACATGAACAATTGTAACATATATGTATATTTTGTATTTTTGCAGCCCCGATGAAGGGGTGGGTTCTGGCCCTCCAAAACGCGTTGGCTCCTTTGTATAATCTTCTACCTGATCTCGCATTGGAATATATTTATATCTAGATTATCAATTTGTGATACGGTGTTTCGATCTCAGTTCAATTTAGTCAAATTACACACCAAGGAAACTGCGGTGAAACGTTGGCGTGTTGAAGCTGCCAGCCCGGAATCCAGACATCACTGTGATACAACTGGACAGAAATGCCAACAGGATAATCATCGGGATCATCATATAGACAGGGCTCAAAATTTCAGGTCCTGAGCTACTAGCCAGGTCTAAGAAGTTACCTGCCACCAGTTGCCCTTCATAACACAAACAAACACACACAGGGCACAACGCGCACACAGCACAACACACATACAGCCACAGCACAACGCACAGAGCATTACAAATACAGCCACAGCACAACGCACAGAGCATTACAAATACAGCCACAGCACAACGCACAGAGCATTACACATATACATTTAATCTGAAATACATTTTTAGTATTAGCACGTGTCTAATAATATGCGTGTGAA